GGACTCAAACCGTCCACGTCGTTGAGTGGTCAGAGAATGCCCTTACACCCTTTCTAGCTGACCTGATGACAGCCGTGCCCCGCAGCACGAACAACAACAGGAAGTCCCATGACTGGACCCTAAGACTGCAGACCCGAGGAGAAGGGAGAACCTGGTCTCTCTCTCTCTCTCTCTCTCCCACAAGATCCAATGACAGACCACGGCAGAAGGGAGTTGGGGAGGGGTCTGCACTGGGGCAAAAAGGAAGACATTGATAGGCAGCGACTTGGTCTTACTGCGCTGAAGGATTATTCTCCTAATATTACACGGCTTATGGAAAGGCCACTGTGGCCGAGGGGGGAACCGCGCGGACTTTAATATCTTGACCACAGAGGCGGACCACTTGGACCGTCGTCTCTGCTGATACGAACCGGTGGTTCTGTAGGAGAAACAACATTCTTTACCTTCAGTGAGAATACACAGCGTATCTACACAAGGCTAACGTTAGCTTGCTAACGACTTGTTGTCTTGATAATGTCGCGGCCAGTTTTGACAACGAGGTTTCAAACCCGCAACTACTCAAAGGGGGGGGTGTGCAGTGACAAGAATCGGGCGATACGATACAGGGGCAACGGTACGATACTGGAGGAGAGGTTTATTATTATTTTTTATCAATTTTAATCATTGTGTAAAGATGTGCTGCAGGTTACAGTCATCTAAAAATAACTTGAACTAGAAATAAGTTCAGTGACGACGTGGCCATTAAAGACGAGAAATCTTAGAAAAGGCAACGATCGGATTCTAAGACGACTGTCCTCGTCTCCTGCCCCCGTCGCCCCCCTCCCCCACCCTCCCCATCTTTCAAAAACATCACTTAGTCGTCACAGCAACCTTGGCAACACTTCACAGTGCCGATGCGCTCTCCTCCTGTCATGTACCCGGTAAAAGCTAATTAAGAAATATCGCAGCCTTCTGCGAACTCAATTAAACAATGTTAATTTATTCTAATTTCAATTTGGAGCCAGTCTGAACTGGAGGAGAGGCTGTGGAAACCAAACCTGGCAGAGGAAGAAAAGCTGTGGCCTCTGCTCCCCCCCCCCCCCCCCCACTCCCCTCCCCGGCTCTTCGGCTCTAACAACCTGAAAAAAAAAACTCCATTTAATGTGAACCTTTTCATTAACATAAGTAATCACCAGGCCCTTCAAATGAAGACGCACCTTGGTGGAGTGTCAGTTTACTTTGTCACCTCTGGAAAAAGAACCATTTAGTGAGAGAGAGAGAGACAGAGCGAGTGAGAGAGAGAGAGTTGGCGTTTCTCAAACAAACTCCACTCCGGCTACTTGGCTGAGAGATACAGTAAATGTTTGTCCAAAAGTCTCTCTCCTTTTCACAGACAATGCCAGGTTAATAATTCAAAATATATGTCAAGGACTTGAATACTCCAATTTGAATATTCCAAATTACATGGAGAAAATCAGCGTTTTAAGGTGAGTGTCTTCCAAGAATAATTTTCTATGAAAACTGGTTAAAAAAAAAGAGATACAACAAAATACAACAGTTAGAATTAACAATAAACTAATAAGCAGTTTTTCAACACTTTTTCCTTATAGTTATCTAGATGAATGGATGGATGGATGAATGAATGAATGGATGGATGGATGGATGGATGGATGGATGGATGGATGGATGTTTCCTAGTCTACTGAATTGGCTTATACAAACAAACTTCTGGGGAAAAAAACCCTAAAACTTTCTTCTCTTCAACCTTTACGTCATACACCACACACAACGTTTCAGACGTTTTTTTTATCCATCAAGTGACACCATCCGTCTCAGCTCTTTGTGAAAATGTGACGAGAACTCAACTCAACTTTTCTCGCCTACTTCCAACTTCTACGCACATGCAAATGCGGCTAATAAAACATGAAGCGGAAACCTGATGAAAATCCCGAGATCACAGCGTCTAAGTGCAGAACGGTCCGTCTGATAAAAACAGATGGAGATGAAACCAGAAATCAGCCCTGGGGAGAAGAGATGGACTGAAACCGACCCAGACGGGGCTCACGAGCCGCCCAACGGGAACAGGAACTCCTTCTCTTCATTTAAATTAATCCCACAGACTTTTCCGTTCTTAAGGATTCTGACTTCAGCTCCTTTTACAGATGTAAAACCTAAACCTCCGCCTCCTATACAGTAACTCCCAGACAGGAACGGACAATCGGAACGACCCGGGACACGGGCAGCATCAAACGAAGAGATCGAAGTCTTACATTTAAGAAAAAAAAGAAGAAAAAAAAAAGGTGTGAGGTTTGAGAAAACCAAGATGGAAAACGATGATTCTTGTTTAAGGAAGTCCAGAAAGAAACTAATTTAATTAAAATTCAAAGTCAAACATAAATCTCTGAACCTCAAAACACAACATCAAAAGTATCTAGATATTTAAATTCAAAATAACATTTTAGACACATTTAGTTCAGGATGAGACCTGGTTTCAAATGTGGATCAGTTTATCTGCGAAACGGATGAATTTCAAAACAGATCAGCTTCACATGAGCTCGACCGTTGTTGTCAATACTGAATATTATTATTATTGATACTGAAGACAGAGATTCCGTCACAGCACAGTAAGACGCCATGTTGTTCAGAGCTGAACGTTTCACACCTGGAAAACAAATCCAGTGTTTGGCGCCGTGGCCACGGTTCAGCTGTAAATCCCGTCCATATGTATAATACCTGCACGTGGACTAAGCGGGCGTTCGGCACATGTTCACGACATGTTCTGATTTTGCACAAGCTGTTGTTGAAGTGGGCGTTTTTAATGCAATGATAAGGAGGATGAATGACGGAAGGCAAAGTTCAAGGCAAAAAAACAAACAAAAAACATGTGTGTGTGAATATTTACACAAGAAGAAAAAACTTTTTTATCTTGAGAAGTCATTTCTGTTATATATTTATCCTTTTAAGCAACATTTCTCAGAACTCAGATTCTGACAAGAACATGGAAATTAATTGAAAGCGACCTTTAAAATGAGACAATGTGGAGGTTGGTTGTGTTTTAAGGGAAGGTTCAAACCGTGCGTTCTCTAAACTGAGCCCGAGGCCGTAGAAAAAAAACCTGATTAACACGTTCACGAGGAAACGCCGTCGCTGCGCACACGTTCTGCGTCGTGCCGCGATTCGTCGTCTTTCGTCTCGTCGCAGGAATGTCTTCTCTTAATCCTCCCTGACTTCATACATTCAAAGGTCATCTCACAGCCTACACGTGTACCTGTGTGTGTGTGTGTGTGTGTCTGTCATTGTGTCTTTTTGTGAACAACCTGTTCAGTATATGTCAGCACCCCCTGCAGGCCAGTATCCTTGTTTACTGCAAACATCCTATCTCTCTCTTCTACTCTCCGACCATCTTCTCTCTCCCTTCACTGTCTCCCACCTTTGTTTTTTATCTACCTCACCCCCCACCCACTTCCTTCCTTCCTTACCCACAATTGCAGCTCTTCCTCCCCCTTCCTCCGCCCCCCCCAGCCCCCCGCTCACCCCCGAGCTCCAGAGGCAGGGGCATCTCTTGGCGAAGTGTGGCCCACCACAGGCCACTGGCTCTGGGTAATTAAAGTGGTTTAGACCCCCTCACCCACGGTCACAGGCAACTGCAGCTGGGTGATAAAGGCACAGTGCCATAATTACATGGACGGCCAGCATCAGCGCCCAGCCACACTAAAACAGTCGGCAAGCCAGCTGCATGGGGAGGTGTGTGTGTGTGTGTGTGTGTGTGTGAGTAACTGTACAGGGTAAAGAGTGTGTTTGCATATGTGTATGTGCACATGGGGGGGGGGTCTGCACCTCCTTCTGATCGCTCTGCTGTTGTTAAGCCCCCTGTGTTTAAGCCCCACATAGACTCATTGGGCCTTAACACACACAAACACACACACACACACACACACACGCAGCCAATCATTCCCCACCAGTGGTCTGACTCCTGCCGTGAGTGTGTGTGACCATCAGCCATTTAATTAGAGCCAGACATGATTTGGTTAATTTAAATAAATAAATAAACAAACCACAACAGCCCGATAAACAAATACCTATATTCAAATGAGGAGCTGGGACTTTCATCAGCATAAAGAACGAGGCAGGAGATGGAACGAGAGAGAGAGGGAGAGAGAGAGAGAGAGAGGGGGGAGGGAGAGAGAGAGCTAATGTAAGGACCAGTGGAGGTGGAGGACACACACACACGGACACACACACACACAGGACACAAACAGAGGACAGAGAACAGGAGCCAAAAAAAAAAATGTTTTGCTAAAGCTAAGAGGGTTTTTAAAGTAGGATGTATGTAAAGCTTTACCGTAATATATGTAAAACAAAGCCACAGCTAATATTTCCATTTTTTACAAAACGTCAGCAAAAATACCCAAATGCAGCTTATATTTAGTTGACCAACATGTGTGTGTGTGTGTTTGTGTGTGTGTGGAGTTTTCTCAGTCAGTATGAATCTGTATATTGTCAAGAGAAAAGAAAAGCCATACAGTATATTTCCTAATAAAAGAGCATTTGCTTTTCTCCTTTTCAGAAAATAACTGGGGAATAATAAAATAAACTTCTTTGGACAAAGTGTCCACTTTAGATCAGGATTTGTCTGAATATTGTAATTGGTGACGCCTTGGCCCCCCATGTCTGTAGGCTGTTTAGAGCAGGGCTGTCAAACATGCGGCACGCGGGCCAAAACCGGTACACCAGGAGGCTCAATCCGGCCCACTTGATAACACTGTATCTTCATGATGCGAAATTGATATTTCATTAAATCTGAAGATTTTCTTATACAATATAATTATATACTAATATACTAATTGATTGAAATACTAATTTCTGAAATGCAGGAATAAAGATATAAAAAACAGCAAATGATGATGTTGTTGTTGTTGTTGTTTACGGAAACCACATTAAAATATAACTTGTCTCTGTTTTTTTTTTCTTTGTTTTTTTTTTGTACATTTCTTTGTGCAAATCAAGGAGAAGCCTGTTTACCTTGGGGGAGGAGGAGGCCAGCTCCCTCCCCAACACTGCTGCCACCGGACTGGGCCCGACAGGCTGGGTTTTCTCCCTGTCTGCACCAGGACTGGGTTTGGGAGCAGGTGGACTGAGGCCAAGACCAGGGCTAGGACCTGGGGGCTGAGGAGCCCGCCTCTTCTGGCTACCGCCCACCGCAGGG